CCAATGCCTTATGAAACAAGAACTCCATTCAAGAGAGAAAAGAACAATGAAAAAGAAAGAAACTTGATTATCATATCAGAGAAAATTATTCTATATTTAATAATACATCATATGGGCTTTTGTACTTATATACAACGGATAGGCTAATACTAACTAACTAACTTGCACGTGCTCCCTTTTAACTTTGCACTAGGCGTACTTGCAGCTGCATTTGCATTGGTTGCATCTGCATCTGCATTAGATATCTGTAAGACCTCCCACAAGCTGGGTTGTGGACATCAAGAAGCCCAAGCTTGCTAAGAAGAAAATTGAAGGGAGTAGGGAGTAGAGCTTTTGTAAAGATGTCTACAACTTGTTCGGTCGATGGAATGGGAAGAAGATAAATCAACCTAGCTTGTATCTTCTCACGAGTTATGTGACAATCCAACTCAATGTGTTTTGATCTCTCATGGAAGGCAGGGTTGTGGGAGAGATAAATGGATGATTGATTATCACAGGAAACAGTAGCTGGTTTTGGCTGTGTAATTCGAAAGTCCTTGAGAAGAAAGGAAAGCCACTGCAACTCACATGTAATGGCAATTAAAGCTCTATACTCAGCTTCAATAGATGACCGAGACACCGTGTTTTTCTTCTTGGATCTTCAAGAAATAAAGGACGAGCCAAGAAAATAGTAAATCCTGTGACTGGACGTCTTGTATTTGGGCAACTTGCCCAATCTGCATCTACATAGCCATTGAGCTGAAGATCACTGGAAGCTGAGAAGAAAATAAATTTGGCTGGAAAATTCTTTAGATATCTGAGAATCTTATGAGCAGCAGAAAGATGAATATCAGTTGGCGCCGAAAGAAATTGACTAAGTTGTTGTACACAGAAACTAATATCTGGACGGGTAGTGGTCAGATAGAGAAGTTGTCCAATGATCCTTCGATAAGACGAAATATCATCAAGAGGAAACCCAAAGAATGATGTAATTTGAGGGATGAATCCATAGGTGTTGATGCTGGTTTGGATGCCAAAAGTTCAGTGTCAGATAATAGCTTTAGAGTGTATTTCCGTTGGTTCAGTAAAATACCAGAAGGAATAAGTGATACTTCCAGCCCAAGAAAAAATTGAAGCTTGCCTAAGTCCTTGATTTTAAATCGATCATGAAGATAATATTTTACCCATTGTATTTCATCCATGATATTACTAGTGAGTACTATGTCATCTACGTACATCAGAAGAGCCGTAAACAATGAATCTTGCTGTTTTGTAAATAAAGAATGGTCTGAATAAGATTGGTGATATCCAATAGATACCAACACTGAGGAAAGTTTAGAGTACCACTGTCAGCTGGCTTGTTTAAGCCCATACAATGACTTTTGAAGCTTACATACTTTTGTAGAATCAGAACATATGATTCTAGGGGGGAGATCCATGTACACTTCTTCATTCAACTCACCATGAAGAAAAGCGTTGTTTACATCTAACTGTTCGAGTAACCAATTCTTAGAAGCAGCAATTGAAAGAAGCATTTGGACAATGGCTAGTTTGGCAATAGGGCTAAAAGTATCTAGATAATCCAAGCCTTTAGTTTGTGTGTATCCTTTTGCGACAAGCCTGACTTTGTACCTTTCTATAGTGCCATCTGCGTGATACTTTATCTTATAAACCCACTTGCATCATATTATACGTGTTCCAGGAGGCAAGGTAACAAAGGACCAAGTATTGTTTAGCTCAAAAGCAGAAATCTCATTCTGCATGGCCTTGTTCCAGCATTCATGTTTAGTAGCCTGGGTATATGTTTTTGGTTCTATATTTGTGGTCACATTAAGACATAAATTTTTGTATGAGGGTGAACAAGAATCATAGGTACGGACATTGGAAAGAGGAAATGAGATATTAGAAGGAAGTCTAGGTGTACCTGAATGTGAATGATTGACTAATGCCATTGACAGATTACAGTAATAATTTTGTAGATAAGACGATGCTCTTTTGGCTCTTTGAGATCTTCTTGGTGTAACTTGGAAAGATTGGGGCTAATCATGACTGACATCCAGATTTTAAGCTGTATGTAGGGAGGCATTTGAGTAGGGAAGATAAGGATCATTCGGGTAGGAGAGATAGGGCATTGGATTTTGTATTTGAGGGTGGTTTGTGGTTGAGGTTGTTTGGTTGGTGTTTTGGAAAGGGAAATGTGTCTGATAGAAAATAACATTACGAGATACAAAAAAATTTCTGCAGGCAATGTCAAGGAAGATGTAACCTTTTGCTCCTTATTGATAACCAAGGAATACAATTTTGGAAGCTCTGGGGTTGAATTTGGTACGGTGAGCAGAAAGGGTAGAGGCGTAGCTGAGACACCCGAAAACCTTGAGGTGTAAGAAGGTGTGAGGCTTTTTATATAGTTTTTCATAGGGAGTGTAATTCTATAATAAAGGACTAGGCAAACGATTAATAATATGGATGGCATGACTGACTGCATATGACCAGAATTATAGGGGCATATTGGATTGAAAAACAAGTGTTGTAGCCACATTTAATATGTGTTGGTGATTTCTTTCCACAACACCATTTTGTTGGGGGGTTTTCAACGCATGAGGTTTGATGAAGTATTCCTTTACTTTGATAGAAATCAGTCATCACAAATTCTAGGTCGTTATCACCGCGAACACATTTTACAACAGTGTTGAATTGATTTTCTATCTCACCATCTTCTCTCCCATACAATTCCAAGGTTACATAAGTTGGCAAACAATTTGTAAATGTAGAAAACAAAAAACAAGATTAAAAAATAAAAATAAAAAGATTAAAAACAAAAAATCTTTTTATTCCTTTTTTTTTTCAAGCCATACTTATTACGTAGCCAATCTCCACCATATATTAAAGCTTGGATGATATTTTCAGTCAAGCTAGAATGATAAGTATCAATAACTCTTCTTCCAGCACTAAATGTTGATTTTGATGGTACTGTAGAGATTGGTACAGATCTTATGTCACTCCCAAAGGTAGTATTGGTGGGGGATCGAACCTAGATCCTTCCACCACCTACTCAGCTCAAATGCACCAACTGAACTATAACCATTTGGTGCTACTATGAATAATATTATTTTATTTTCTTTAAAATAAATAATATGATATAGGCTGACCTGTAAACTTGTAGGCCCGACATGTAAAAAAAGTCTATAACCTACTTTCTAAGTAGACTTTTTTAAAAATCCAAATCTGTTCTATTTGAACATATATAATAAGTCAAAACTAACCTAATATAGGTTAGCTCATAGGCCCTATCCATGACAATTCTTCCAGCATAAGAGCAGCAATAATGAATCTGAAGTCTCCCCTTGACAAGTCAATGTTTCCCCTTACCTATTAGGAAATAAATATATTACACGGCACACTAGCATATATAATTCTCTTGGGTCTAGAATCATATATAAAAACAATATAATGGGAATCACTTGATTTGCTTGAATGATATTGCTAACATGCAAGAAGTTAATTTTCTCATTTAACTTTTTTTTGTTCTGTTATGCGAATCAAACGGTTCAAAAAGTGTGGTTCTATCCAACTCGGTCATTATTGTCACGTGGGTTAATTTAGGATCCATCACAAAGGGTCAGAGGTTTTTTTTTTCACATTTTCTATTACTGATATTGTCTAAATTGCTCTTTAATCAAAAGACGAGAAAAAAAAAATGTGAGAGAATAAGGAATGATAAAATCAGCATAGTTGACTTGCCATGAATAATTATGAAAAGAGAGACTATACTCCTAATTTATAGTGACATGTGGTAGATAACTTGATTATAATTGCTCTTTGATCAGCCCAGAAAATTTCATTAAACCTTTCAGCCTATCTTATTCATTTAGAGTGTCTTCCATATTTAATTAATCGTAGCCTCCTCCTTGTTCCTCTTAATTTCTACTTAGAATTCAAATGAAAACCACACTTAAGAAGGATCGCATGACATACTATAGATTGAGTTATTATTATTCAATTAGAGAAACATGAAAGGAAATTGAAAAAGGAAACATCATATTTGTTCGACATATATAATATCACCATTTTTTTATACATATAATATTACCACTTACCAGTTCAATATGAATTGGGCTACATCATACACGGTTGAAAGATGAAGACTTTGGACTGTATGTTGTACTATTGTTGAATGATTCTGGCGTAATGGAAGTGACTTGAGGGTACCCTGCAAATCCGACGCTCAAGTCAGTATCAATTCTAGGTTTTATGTTATATTCAATGGGAATAAAGATGATTATACCTGGGTTGTACCCTTCATATTTATAGCAAGTTTTTATGCCGCCTTTAGTAGGCGACATGCCTTCTTATTGGTTATTGTGGACTATAGACTTTTATGTCTCATGCCTTTCTAGCTATAAGTTTGCCTTTCTAGCTATAAGTCTATATACTTGTCTGTTTTCCTAGAATGATGGCAAGCTGAAACTATCTTCCTTGCATTGATCTTTATGCGCGGTAAAACTCAACTTGTTGCAAAGCCTTTCCTTAGCATTTAAGTTATATAAAGTGACTTAATATTATAACCTTCGCAATGTTTGGCTCATGCATCTCGCGCTATGAGATTATTGCGCCTCTTGGACCCTTTCTAAGCCTTGAATCTCATGGGCCTATATAGTTATCCAGATCAATCCTAAAACTTAAGCTAAAACTAATAAATAAATAATATATATAGGACAAAATCAATTTAAACCGGTATAATTTTATATTCAATTTTAACCGTTAATTTTTATCCATTAAATAATTATAATTAATTAAATTATTTTATTAATTAATTATTAATTCTCAACAAATTATAATTATTGAATGTATGAATATCAACCATTAAAATTAAGTAAAAGATTTATTATTCTTAAGAAAATCCTGCCTTATTATATATAATAAGGTTTGTAAAGAAAAAAGCAGAACATGAAAGTAAGTAATTAATACACACTATTACTTATATATGGCAACATACATAACTATGATGCTATTACTTGTTGTGGTGATGTGTTCCAGGAAGTTTCTCCTTTATCTTCTCCATTATTCCTTTCTTCTTGTGATGGTGCTCGCTCTCAAGTCTTATCAATTGGAATTCCCCTTAAGAGTGTAAGTGTGGGGTTCCAAGCAATGGTAACTATCTTTTTTACATCATAAATTTACAAACTCAAGAATATCTAGAAGAACCAAAAGAATCAATTATATGAATGGATGTGGACATGATGTATCTAACCTAAAGAACAAGGAGAGAAAGGTGTCATTGTGGGACATTTGTATCCCTTTCCAGGTGTGGATCTGCTGTCTCATTCTTCTTTAAGAGTTTTTCAACAACCTCATCCCAGTTTGCCCTAGCACCACTTGATTTTGATTGGGTACTTGAGGGGTCTTTGGCCCCACTACTGGATGCCTCACCTTCATTGTTTGCAGACGGTTCTTTCTCTGCAGTGTCAACTGCATGAGGTACATTTAAACTAACTGCTCTTTCCAAAGCATCTTTATGTTCCTTTTCAATGGTTTTCAATCTCTCAAACTTTTGTACGGTTGGAGGGACTGTCACAGTTTCGGAGCTGTGATCCTTCATTAACTAAAAGGAATCACCAAGAACAGTCAGAAATCGTTAAAGGCAGAAAAGGTTGAGAAAGTTAATTCTAACAGCATTTTGATCCATAGATTACATTATTCTCAATAACAAGAAGTCTCAAACTTCAAAGAACAATGTTAAACAAAGGCAGAACCTCATCTTCTATTCCTAGTTCAGAATGTTAAACAATGTTAGAAAAAAGCAGCAAAAACAGTAAATGGCAGATATTATTACAACTAAACTTCCTTACTTGTAAGGCTTTCTCTGCCTCCCTCTGAATCCAAACAATTCCATGATCTGACGTCGTATTACAGGACAAGACAATATGCTCAAATCTTCCCTCAACAGGAATAGCAGTCCTCACTTCAGGAGGAAATCTCCCACATCTGTGTTCACCAAGCAACGAGGAACTTCATTATATAGAACATATTAGTTGTAGCAGTAGTTGAGGACAAGATTTAGCTATGCATATGATATCTCAGTCACACTTAGTGAACTATTCCTTGACTCCTTGTGCTAAACCAGTAACCTTGGAATTTGTTCTTTTATACGGGTTATAGAAGATGCTAAATGAGTGAATATGGAATTCCTTTCAACAAACTTACCAGGGAAAGAGGAAAATCAGACCATGGGAACATCTGAACTAGCATGGTCAAGATGACTGAAAGCGTTTATAGCTCCCAGTTTTGCAGTTCTAAAAGGTTAGAATCCCAAAAAATTAAAAATTAAAAACTTTCCGACTCAGCATGGCTAAATAGCATCTTGTGCTTAGCTAATGAAGCTGGGTGGATGGCGCTTTAAGTATATATATATATATTTTGACTCCAGTCTAAAACTAAGAAATCTTAGTCCCTATCTAAACCGTTGATTTCCGTCCATCTAACAGTTATAATTTATTAAGTTATACCAATTAATTAATCATTAATTCCAAATAAATTATAACTGTTAGATGGACGGGAGTTAGATGGACGGAAATCAACGATTGAGATGGGGAGTAAGACTTCTTAGTCTTACTCTAGAGTCAAAAGATCCCTCCTATATGTATATATAAGGAGAACAAGTGAAGAAAAGATAACTAAAATATAGAACTAACTGGGTCTGCGTGTATTCAAAAAACAAAAATGCACTACTCATAGTAACTTGATTCCTTAGGCATATGAAGAAAAAGTACAATTTCATGAATCATACTCTCAGCTAACTACATTAAACAAGTCATTTAGCCACTGTTTAAGCAATTAAAACAATTACAATCTATGCCTTTTGTAACTTTTGGTTACAGAAGTCGAATTCCTTTGTCTAGGTTTCATAAAAGTTACTACAACTAGAAGAGACCAAAAATAATACTTTTGCACCAGAGCAAGTAAACTAAACAAAATAATAATAAGTATATTACCATAATAATTATTTTGATTAAACAGGAGTTTACTACAAACGGAACTGTTTGCAAGTCAATACCTGCAAAATTTTCTCTCCACAATATGATACATTCGACCAGGTGCGTAAAGTCTCCTTGGATCTCTAAGCTTTCTACCCTCAGGTATGAAGGTGTCCCTCAGGCAAACCAAGAATAACAAGCACGGCAAGCTGTTCAAATCATCAAGGCCTGGTTTAAGAAACCATCATGGTAATTTACTCCACTCAACAATAAACCTAAACAACTAGAGAATAAATCACGCAATTGAAAGTTGAAACAAAATGCTCACATATCCATATCACACAAAAAAGGACAGTACTAACCAGAATACTGATTTGAATATATCTTCCAATGGAGTGGGCGTTCTTGGCAAGAAATCATCCTGCACCAAAAAATAAATGAATATTATAATTTGAACAATCATCATCATCATACAGTTGAATACAATTAAGGCATGATTGCAATTTTTGGTCCTTATACTATGGTTAATGCGCGATTTTGGTCCACCAAAGTTTGTGTATAAACAAATTGGTCCTCAAAGCTGTCAACTAGCTAACAAGTTCATCCTACCAAAGCTGTCAACTTGCTAACAAATGTTTACCCTACCAAATTTATTAACTTGTTAACAAATTCATCCATTCTGGAACCAATTTGTATAGACGGGACTAAAGCAACACAAATAATATCTTTCAAATACCAGATTATATATTTACTCAAAACCCAACTTTGAGTGAGATAATACAACAAAACACACAACCATAAGTAACCACCAAGCACAGAAGAGGTTGTTCCAGCTTAACCAGTGATTTCGAGTTTGAATCATGTTGTGTTAAAACTTGATAGAGACATCTAATCCTATCCAGCTCGAATCGGACTAATCGAATAATCGATAAACCAGATATTAAAAAAAAATTGTAATCTAGTGAGTAGTACTTAACAAGAGTGAAAAGAGAAAAGGTATATTGATGACCTAACCTGCAACACTATAGAATGTATGACATTGGCATATTTAACAGCCAAATTGAGAGACATACACCTGGCAGGAGCAATAGCATAACACCGAATCTTCTCTTTGGGAATCCCTCCAAGCTTTTCCCTATGATTCACAACTAATATGGTTAACAAAGACACCACACCAGACCCCAAAGAGTGCCCAGCAAACACCATCCCATACTCTGAACCGTTCTCAACCCACAACTGTTTCAGGGTCTCAGATTCCCGGTTCAGCAACCAAGTCGCAGACTTTAACAAACCATGGTGAACATAACCACCATCGAACATTTGCTTCCCCAAACTGTTATCCAATAGAAGCTTGTAGTCACTTTCTTTGACCAAGTTGAGACCTCTCACCGCGAGCACGATCTCGCGGTGGTCGTGGTCGACGTAGATGATGTACGGCGGCGCGTGGCCGAGGGTGTCCTCGTAGGTGACGCGTTTCACTACCCAATCCGGGTTTAGGCGGTAACCGCCGGCGGGTTGGTAATGCTGCGGTTGGAGGAGATCGGGTTCGTAGATGGCGAGGATGAGGCGGCAGACACGGGGGGCCGGTTCGAACTCGTCGGCGGTGGCGGAGGGCCACGTGGCGCTGTCGTAGGAGCCGATGTAGGTGCAGCGTTTCCACAACCAACGCGCGCAACCGAGTACGAAGACACACTCCACCCCACATGCGACGGACATGTTTTTTAAGGATTTTAGGACAATGGGTGTCGCAGAATGAGTGAAAGTTTGGTGCTTGTGGAGTGAATGGAAAGTGGGTCGGAAATTGGAATGGTTGGGTTTTTCCAGATAGCTATGGAAGCTATGCCTTTGTTTCTGAGACAGAGTGTGTGTGTGTTGCAGTGAAAGCTTAATTAGGAGTTTAACACCCACATGGGATGTGCACATGTAGATTGCAAGAATCGCGTGAGCTAGCTCTAGAGACTAGTGAGACTGAGATTATGACATTTTTGACAGATTCTGATGTTTGGCCATCTTTTGATTTTTTGTAATAGAAAATACCTGGATGCTTTTCTTAGAGGTTAAACTTTAGTCATTTACGTTTTTATTTTATTTTATTTCTGTGGTTAACTTTTTGTTTAAAAACTTCTTTTATTTATGGTTGTGTTTCTATTTTCTAAAATCAACAATTGTGTTTTGTTATGTTTGTAAATGGGGATGTGATTAACTACAGCTTGCAAAATTAATTTGGTGATTAGCTGTTCCTTTTTTAATTGTTTCCTGTTTTGGTTGTATGAAATACTAAGGAACTGGTATTTGGCTGTTATTGCAGGCCAACACCTGTATATGTGATTCAACTTTATTGAATTAATTAATGAATCATCAATGTCAGTGACTTTGTTTTCCCCCACCAATGGTTAGTGCAATGTATGAAGTGTCAAAGAATTGTAGGCAGAGATTATTTATATCCAATAGACAATCATGTGTGAACTCTCTGGAGAAATTGTCAAGAAAATAAGTAAAATAAGTTGAATTTATAATAATAATAATAATAATACAAGAGTACTGAAAAATCTGCATGCTAATAATCCAGATGGTATTTTTATAGTTATTTTGTTCGTTTCTTTTCCATCTGGCTAGTGGAGTAGTTCAACTTCGAAAAAATCTTAGGTATGGTACATTCGCCCAAAAGGAGAACTTTTTTGAGGACTTACATGGAAATAGAAATAGAAATAGAAAAAAAGGAGTAGAATGAAATTTTATTTTCCAAAATTTGAAAAAAGAGTACCCAATCTTCAACTTCTTCTTTTCTTCTTTTTCCTTTTTTACTTCTGTCTCGAATGTTCAATAAAGCATATTTCTTTTTTTTTTCTTTTTAATTGTTTTATTCATCGGTACTTGTCTTTGGATCAGTAAAGGCTTAATTAAATGGAATGAAATATTTCGGGAGCCACCTACCTTCTAATGCACTTTGAAGCGTGGATTCTTCCTTTGTAATTTCCACCTAACTTACACTGTTTCAAAGCTTGGATTACCTTTTTCAACGGACTGTTTAACTATAATAAATTTAAGATAAAAAGATTTCTCATGTTGCACGAGAAATCTCCTCTCTTACCACTCTCACTTTGATGTCCTGTCCGTGTCAATCACTTTTTTATTTTTTATTTTTTTCTTTAAGGTAGGCCCCACCCCTTTCTCTCTCTGTAGGAAAACTTGCATTTCTCGTGCATAAGAAATTGCAAGCCCTAAATTTAAAAAGAAAATATTTTTCTTAGTTAATTTTAAAGTCAAATAATTTATTAAAATAATATAATGAGATAAATGGGGTGTATAAGGAGTATATGTGGCTTAAACGCGCATGTCACATGTTACGTTTTATAAGACATGCATGAGAAGTGTTCCTGACTTGAATGTACATACGCAATATGTGTTTTGCAAAATACGATACATGACTTAAACGTACATGAGCAATGTGTGTTTTACAAAATATGATACATGATAATACGTGATGAATTGTGCACAAGTTATGCATAGGATAATGCGTGACTTGAACGCATATATCTCATACATATCTCATCATATTATTTTGATTAATTATTTAATTTTTAAATCAACAAACAAAAGTATTTCCATTTTAATACTAAATAGGTCAAAAGGCCTTTTTCAACAATTGTGATATTTATACATTTCATCCACGCTAAGAGAAGATTTATTTAGCAACAATTGAATAGATCATTACTATAATTTTTCTTTTGATTCATTGATGGAAATATATAAAAAAAGTAATTCGCTACCTGCTCATAATGTCTGGTGTCTCAAAACGATAAAGCTAAACAACGCATGTGATGGGGCCATTATTCTCAATGATACAACACTCTACTTGGTATTCATAACATCTTTTTTAAATTCAAGTTTTATCTTCGGAAGATCAAATAAACAATGGGAATATCTTTAACCGCACTTATTCAACAGAATTTTAAGTCTAATCTCCATTTTAGATCAGCAACTTATTGTAAAAAAAACTAAAAATCAAAAGTTAATTGAAAACTCGTATTTGTATAATACCCTACAAGTGCTCGACCTTTCAATAATAACGAATATCAAAATTCCATCATTGTTATGCACACAAAGTATTTGCTACACATAACGCTGTCTAAAGTGATCAGCTTCTCTTTAAAGTACACAAATCTTGGATGTAAAAAATAATGTTATTTAATATCACATACATGAACTAAAGCATATTAGGTTGTTCTAATTTAATTAGTGATATCAAATTACGTTTTGATTACGCAATTATATTAAAATTTTGGTAAAGAAAGTTTTCCACTTGTGGTCATGGGCTCATGGTTGATTCGCCCGAATTAATCGAGTTTTAAATGAATCGATAGAAAAATCTCAAAATTTGTATGAGATAATTGCATAACAAAACCAATTTTGCTATATATATATATATATATATATATATATATATATATATATATATATATATATATATATATATATATATATATATATGGGGTAAATATTTCTACAGCCGCTTTAGATAAAATTATCTACAGCTATCCAAAAACTACGTCGTTTTGATTAACGAAGGATGTTTCTGTAATTTTAGGTGAATTAATGAAGAATATTTCTGTAATTTTGTTTATTTTTTTATCATATGCATTTTACCAAAACACTCTTGATTAACTCACCTAAAATTGCAGAAACTTCCCTCATTAATCAAAACGATGTAGTTTTTGGGTAGCTGTAGATAACCTTATCTAAAGTGACTGTAGAAATATTTTTCATATATGGGAAAAATATTTCTCAAGCAGCTTGAGATAAGTTTATCTCCGGCTACTCCAAAACTACGTCGTTTATTTATTTATTTCCTTATATTAATTGATTCACCTTTGAATGATTATGATTCTCTTTCTCTCTCTCTTCCTTTATCTCCATTGATCAATCTTTGTACAATTATGTTTTACTAGCCGAAGATAAGATTATCTCAAGCAGCTTGAGAAATGATAAGCCCATATATATATGGGTTTACATTTCTGCAGCTGCTACTTGCAGCAATCAAATTCTTGCCATATATATACTTGAAAGCATTAAATGCGGGGAATCATAATCATACAAAAGATGAAAGCATTAAATATGGGAAATCATAACCATACATCTGTCGTTGCTGTACATAAAGCGGTTGTAGAAATGATTTTACCATATATATAACAAGTATCTGACTGCTGCGCGTACAGCAGCTACAGAAATGTAAACACCCCCCATACACACACACACATATATATAGGGGAATGATTCGTTTAAAAACTTATATATATATATATATATATATATAGCTTTAATGTTTCTATAGTGAATGTAGATAAGTTATCTACATTCACTCTCAAAACGACATCGTTTTGGATTGAAAAATAGAAAAATTATAATGCGAAAGACTATTACAACCCTCAAATAAATTATAATTACAAAAATACCTTAATTTTCGTCTCAAAACGACGTCATTTTGGGCTCAATGTAGATAACTTATCTACGATGATTGCAGAAAAGCTAACCCTATATATATATATATATATATATATATATATATATATATATATATATATAGGGTAAGGATCATTTTACACCAGTGTAAGTTACACTCTTAATCTTGTCTGTTGATCTCATTTATATTTAAGGGCTCTAATTTTTTAGTAATGTGAGCCATTAGATATAAGTGGATCAATGGTCAAGATTGAGTGTAAGACTTCTAACTCTTACATCGGTGTAAGAATATCCTGCCCCATATATATATATATATATATATATATATATATATATATATACAAAATGTTTGTAAGTATAACCTTTTCTTTAAATAAATATTAGTTCGATAACCAACCCACTTAAATTCTTTTTTTTTTCTTGGTACAATGAATTTAGCTTCTTTTATTTCATAAGTAATGTATTTTTTGGATCCTCAACAAATATCACAGTGTCCAATTTAAAATCTTAAAAAAAATATCGACTAGTGGTTGTTGGACAAGTGGTCTCAAATTCAAGAGGGGAGGTGAATTGAGTTTTAAAAATATTTTCGCAAAATGCCGCACTTTCTTTTTTGAAAGAGATTTTCTTGAGTTAATATGATTTTTACACAAGCAAAGCTTAAAGAATAGAAATTAATACAAGCAAGTAGTATGCGAAGTGTAAACTTAAATAAGTTCAAGTATTCAAATAATGCTTATGTAAAGAGATAAAGAGTTAGAGAGATTGCAAACACGATATATCCTGGTTCGGTCACCACCACCGTGACCTACATCCAGATTAAAGTCGCTCGTTCAACTTTCCACTAATTATCAAGCTTTAAGGGTGCTTGATAAACCGCTACAACCTTCAAGACTTTTGGTTCTTGAAACCCTTACACTTCCACTCACTTTCTTAGGCTATGAGCAACATTTTCACTAGTGTCTCACTACCCTCAACTCAAATGAACATAATAAGAGTGTTTAGAAATGGATTTGTACTCTTGAAGTACAAATTATACAAGTTGAAGCTTATGGGTATTGATCAATGACACAAGAATGAAGCTCAAAGGAGTTTTATAATCAATATGAATAAGAACAAGCAATAAATGAGTTTGATTCAACGAGAATGATCAATTATGATTGCCAAACCAATGGAACAGTAAATCTTGGCTAGCTGATTCGTAATTAATAAGTTTTTATAGTTGTTGAAACCAATGATGCACGGACACGGACACGACACGTAAATGTCAAAAAATGTAATATTCCGACACGTTAGAACACGTTTTGATATTAATTAATATTTTTAATATATATAATATAGTTATATTTAATACATATAGTAGCCTATAAAAAGTCTTATAATCAATCAAATATTATTTTCTATATTTGAAATTTACGAGAAACTAATCACTGCATCAAAAATTATATTATTTAGGATTTTATTATTATTTAAAAAAAAAAGGAAAAAAGAAAAATGTTGACAAAATGGTTAATAATCATATGACTGACGATGCATCAACAAAAAGCAAGCATAGGGAAGTAAAGTTTGACTAAAAAGCAAGCATGCTTCCCTTCTTTTTGAGTGAGGCAGTATTGACTCCCTATTTTGGTGTTTCTCTGTGAAATCCTTTTCTCCAATTTCAAATGTTTATTTCCATCCCAAGCTAAAGCTTAATCTTGTTTTGGCTCTCTTAATGTCATTTTGTCTTGACCGTGACCGTGGGCTATTTTTGTCAAATTCTGGGCAGTATTGACCGTGGTCTTTCTCCACATTTTTCATCACAAAGCCCACAATTCAACTCCTTCCACCGTCTCAAATCGCCATAAACATCCGAGTACGACGCCAGAGGCGGCAATTTGAGACCAGCCCCACCCCAATTCCCACCAGTTTTTGGGTTATTGCGAGGCAAGGAAATGGGTTTCAACGAGTTCGGCGTCGCCACCATGCGAATCCCATTGGGGCTCCTTCCTCAACCCTAACCTTGCACCTTCTCCTCCTCCGCGTCCACACCTGAAGACGCGCCTTAGTTGATCAAACCCCAATTATCAGAAACACCTTGTGCAGGAACATGACGTCACCCACCAGCATTTTTCGCACTTCGGTGAACGTGAGCCTCCTCGAGGGCTCTTCCCTGTACTTGTTTATTATTTTTTTATAAAAATTTCAAAACGTGTCCAAAAACGTGTTCAAAAATATTGACTACGTGTCGGACTCGGTCAAAGTCGCGTGTCGGAACAGTCAACGTGTCCCAAAAAGTTGACTGCGTGTCAGACGCGTGTCCGAACGTGTCCGTGTCTGACATGTGTCGGACACGTGTTTTTTTCAAAAATTTGGCGTGTCCGTGCATTAGAGGTTGAAACGAAACTAGCCATTAGAATGCTTACTGCCCGGTAAGTATTCAAATACTTTTCGTGGAGTATTCAAATACTTCATCAGGTATTCGAATACTTTTCTTAAGGTATTCAAATACTTTGTTCTCAGCACAAGTATTCCAATATAGTCAAGAAGGTATTCAAATACTTTCTTGACAGAACATAAATAGTGCAATTTTTTGAGTTGTAAAGCATTCCTATTTGTCTCTAATCACTTTTAATGTAATTCCTTGACTTGTTGAACATGTTTTGAGGTTACGAAATATGTCAAGGGTCTTTTTCATAAATATTATACCTTTCAAGTGATTGATGACATGGATAATGCATGCATAGAGTTAAATATCCTTTGAGCTCATTTATGCATCATTAATCAATTACCTTTACATTTAGATCTAAGCTCTCAAGGATATGTTGCAATCTTGATCTTTTATCTTGATCATGTGTGTTGAATGATTTTCTCTTGTTGTCTTGTTTAATTGCTTTCTTGGACTTTTGATTGTTGCGAGTTGTCTTATTTTTGACGTCGCTTCTAAGCTTGTTTGTTATCATCAAAACCCTTGTATAAATGAATTCTTCATTTTAAGTACATTGGTTTCACAGTGGTCCCTCTGAACTTCAAAATAGACTTATATTAGTCTTTTTAAGCGACTAATGTAGATCTTCTTTGAATTTTAGAAGAATCACAATTTTGACTAAATAGGCTATTTTGAATTTTAGAGAGATCACAAATCGCTTTTTTTTTCTAAAAGATTAAAATGGGCATCCCAATTTTTGTGGAGGACTCAAAATGTACTTTACTCTTATTTTATATTAGATTTATATTAGTGCCCATTGTCCAAGTAGTAAAATGTATTAAAATAAAAATTGAATTATGAAATAAGATTTTATTGAATTTTGATATAAAAATATAAAGTAAAGTATTTTTTGGGTCCTCAACCAGTATTACGGGAGCAATAAATCCCCTAGGAAACAAAAGTCGACTCCTAGTCCCTCTGAAATTCAAAATAGACCATTGTTAGTTCTTTTGAGAGACTAACGTGAGTCTTCTTCGAATTTCAGAGGTCCACAATTTTGACAAATTAGGTCTATTTTAAATTTCAAAAAGATCACAAATCGAATTTTTTTTTACTAAAAAATTAAACCGGACCAATAATTTTTGTTTAGGATGCAAAAGGTACTTTTCTCGAAAATATAATTAAAGATTAACTTCAACTATCTCTTGGCAGAATAAGGTTAATTTTAATTAAAAAAAATTATTATTACATTGTTGTTGATTTTATATCACGCATATATAAGAAGTAAGTAAACTTGAATTCAAATAATTAAATTACTTTTGCAATGCCGCTATATAGTACCCTTACCTTTAAGATTGTTATTAACTATTATTATATAAATTTAACTATTATAAGCACAAAGCAAGGTGAAAAGGGGGAACAGTGACCATTTTGTCACGCTTCACCAAATTATTTACCAGACTATCATGCCAACAATAAACATTTTCAGAATACCACGTGACATAATTCGCTACACTGTGCAGCGAATTATGCTTGCAAATAATTTCCTACACAGTGTAGCGAAATATGTCATGTCAGGCTGCACAGTCAGCAGTAATGACACGTGTCAAGCAGGCAGTAATCCGATCATAATTCTCTACACAGTGTAGCGAATTATTGCTGCTTGACACGTGTCATTTTTGCTGACTGTGCAACCTGACATGACATATTTCGCTACACTGTGGAGCGAGTTATTTGCAAGCATAATTCGCTGCACAGTGGAGCGAATTATGCCGCGTGGCATTCCGGGAATTTTTACTGTTGGCGTGGTAGTCTGGTAAATAATTTGGCTAGACGCGGCAAAATAGTCATTGTCCCCGAAAAGGGCATGGCTTTTAATATATTAAGAATGGGAGAAGGTTTAATGAAATAAATATAGAAAAGACAGAATACTTTTTATTTTCCTACAGTATATATTTAAACAGAAAAATATTTCTGTAGTTACTGCAGATAAGTTATCTGCATTTACTCCTAAAATGACGTCATTTGAGATGAAAAAATTTAAAAATTAAAATTATAAAGACTATAATAATCCTGAAATAAATTAAAATTACAAAAATATCATGATTTATGCCTCAAAACAACGTCGTATTGAGTTTACTGTAGATAACTTATCTGCAGTGACTGCAGAAAAAATGAACCCATATTTAAAATTAATTTTTCATCAACCATACCTAAATAATAATTTCGCCAATTTTTTTTTCACCAACACAAAAATAATAAATAACCTCACTACAAACTTTCTTAATTCAAATTTTACTGCAAAGAAAATCAAGTTTGAATAACTAAGTTAATGTAAAATTAAAAGTTTTCAAAACAAAATTAAAGCACACTATCTGACAAAAACCGAAGACTCGCCAACATAGAAAAGTAAGACATTTTTTTTTTGTTCGAATGAAAATATAATCCTCCACCAACATAAGATTTACCAGAGCCATATATATATATATATATATATATATATATATATATATATATATATATTCTTAATTAAAAGGAAAATTTCCCACGTTTACTACTCAATAACCAAAAATATATCTATGCTAACACAGAAGGTTAACAAAAAAAACACAGGAAGAGAACCTTGTTGTACCAGTAAAATTTTCAGCAATTAGTCACCGATTGATAAAGATTGATTGAATTCTAATTGAAAAGAAGAATGATGATTCGATTGAAGCCTAATTCAGTCCAAACCATTAGCTGGCCTTTGTACAAAATTGAATTGGCCAATTTGAACATGCAACCAAACTAGTACATAACATCATTGTCTGCCACAAATTTTTTGGACAAGTAATATAACTTCATAGCAAAACAATTCCCCATATTAGAAGTCCTATCCCAATTAAAAGGCTTCTAATTCTCAATCCACATCTGTGGATATTGCAGGCAGAAGAATTTGAATTTGTGGAATTCATTGATGTTGCCGTGACATTAGAAAATGTGCCGTTTTTGCCAAGACTGCACAACATTTACACAAACCAATCTCTTGTAAGCAAAAACAATAACACAAAAACACATGGTTAACAAAATGAAGCAAAGAGGCAAATAAATGTACTACCTTCCCGGAAATTTACATGAACCATGACCTGCAGTCATTAAAAAAATGTCCTTAGTTATTACTAGAAGAAATCATGAATAGAACTACAAAATCTGATAAAGCATATCCAACCCAATATTCATAATCTTGAAGGAAATGGTAATTTACTTGGATCAGAAGTGGAGATTGTAGCCATTTCATTGAAATCACATGACTCAGTAGACTTTCCCATTTGATGATAGTAAGTGTCAAAAGCATAATTTGCATGTGCAATAACATTGTCTGGTTCATAGCATGATTCTCCTTGCAGCAATGGAGAGCAATCCACCTTGCCAGGTCCACAAGCCCAATCTATTCCAGCCTGCAGCATCTTTGGATCAGCACCATCTTTTGCAATGCAGTAAGTTTGATTTGTGGTATCATTTGCTAACACTGCTCCTGATCCTGTTAAGTGTAAAATGTAAACAGGTGCCCCATTTGCATCAAACAATCCCCAGTTCTTCTCTGACAATGGCCCTGGCTTTGTATCCTCATTGTAGAGCTCATAGATGTAAGTACTAACAGCAATTCCAGGATGTTTTGGAGTTCCAGTCATGTTCAGTACATGCTTTATCAAATTGCTGTTGTAAGCATTGGCATTATCTGCAGTTGCATCAGGCTCATTAGAGTCCCCTTTTGAGGGCCAGCCTGTCTCAGTTACTACTACAGGAACATTAGTGTAATTCAGAAAAGACATGGCAAAGTATGCTGCATCAACCACAGCATCAAACACATTGGTGTAGTGGAGAAGGGTATTAGAATCAATAGCTTCTTTGTTTGGAGGAAGAGGTTTGAAGAGTGCATAATCCAATGGAATCACACCATTTGATTGCATGTAATCATAGTAAGGGTAGATGTTGAGCATGAGATAAGAGCCAGATGATTGCAAGAAATCAAGCATTGGGACCAAGACTGGATTCAATGAGCGGTTAAAGAAGGCTTGGGAAGGTGGAAATGAATCAAGGATGATTGAAGAGGAAAGGGGTGTTGAAACTTTTATTTGGTGATCAAGATTGGATGCCACAAGTGCTGAGTGAATGTACTTAAGAGCATTGACAAGAACTTTTGCTGCATTAGGGAGAGTAGTTAAAACCTCAGAACCAACACAAATAGCTGTGATATTAGTGGCTGGATAATGTGCTACCACATTGAGGGAAACCCAATTTGCAGCTGTGGAATTTGATTGACCAATTGCTAGGAGCTCTTCATTAGGGACAGACACAACAACTTGAATTCCAGACTTTGCAAGTGCAATGAGCATAGCTTGGTCAGCATCATACAACCGAACATGTCGAATTTGCTGGGCTTTAAGTAGTGCTACTACTTGAGTAGGGTGAGGCATGTCTGAGAGACCTGTTCCAATATTCACCCCAATGAATGGTTCTGCAAGGAACAAACATAAGGTCCATTAAACATAAGTCTCAAGACTTAATTCATCAAAGGTTAACCAGTCAAATAACATTAGCTTGGTTTGCAAGAATATGCAGGCAGGCTCTCTTGCACATTTTGCCTCTTCAAATCAAATAAGGTTTTTTTGGGCAGAATATAATGCAATTGATTATGTTGTCTTGCAATATGCTTGACTCTTGTGTAAAATGTAAGTATTTTAAGAAATTGATTTGCTTTCTTTTGAAGTTTTATATAGTGTGACCTGAGAAATTTGAACAAGAATATAGATAATTTCCTAAAACAGTAAGCTTATTTTGAAAATAACTTCGCCACTGTACTGTAAAGTGCTAAACACATATCCATATGTGGGGAAAGAAGACAATAAATGACTGAATATAAGGACAAACAGAGCCATCCTACCACATTTAATATATTTGAATACTAACAGGTACACTGCATTGCCATTCAAGAAGATCAATCAATAAAAGCCTACCTACCCCTCTTCTTTTTTCCATTTTATTTTACACACATTAATTGTTGATAAAAAATTCTTTCAGTCAAACTAAGTATCAGGTAAAGAAAAATATGAATGCTTAGAGACTAAATGGGAGAAAAAAAGGGAAAACAAGAACAATAGGCTGATTCGTCACTCTACACAACTGAATAAGATGTCTTTCAAACCTCAATACTAATTAAATCTCATAGAACATACTAACAGCCAAGATGTGCCAGGTACTTAGGGAGGGAAAATGAAAGGCAATGAAGGGTGTGCTTCAAACCTGACCCTAAATCTCATGGAACACTCTTAACAGCAAGGAGTCACCTTAAATCCTTTTCTGAAAGGTGAGCAAGAAAGTAAAGGCAAAACTGAAAATGCCAACTCATGTTTATACCAAGTTAAAGAGAGTAATAAGAACAATGCAGTAAGTAATCCATGCAGTTCAAGTAAATGTAGTTTTTCAGTGCAAACTGAACAATGCCAACTCATGTTTATATCAAAGGGGAATGAACATTCAGAGGACAAGTGACTTTAATAGTGAGAATATCTGAATCCCATAACAAAGAACTCCTCAGCAGAGAAAGCACAGCAACAAAGAAGATTACATAGGGAACTAAAACTGCTCGCTCACCTTCATCAGCTGCAACAACAGCCATTGCAAACAGCAGCAGAAGAAAATGCACAGCCATGTAGTTTAAATCTCCCTAAGAAATCTTGTGAAAACTCAAGAATGAATGTTTGAGAGAGAGGAAACAAGTCAAAAAATGGAAAGAGCAAGGAGGAAAATATGACAGAGAGAGAGAGGAAGATAATGAAGGGAAGTAGAGGGTGCAAACTAGCAACTGGGCAAGATCAAAATGGCATCATAGGTAGAAAGGGTGTCAGAAAAATCAAAGGGCTAAGGAATCATCTATCTCTTGGATTTTCACTGCAACCTAGCACTGGCATAGGTAGCAACAAACCAAGGCTAAGGACCAAGGAATAAGGCAAACTACTATTTTATGTATGTGCTTCTTCTTTTCATTTTTATAATACTTTTATAGAAGAAAAAGGAAATGATATATATAAGAATTGACGATTCCAAAACAGAAACTACACAAGAAACGATGATATCATCCATTCATTTTTCTTTCTCTCTTATATGTAAATTTCTCTTTCTTCTATGTAAAATCTGTATTGTCCTAAATATAGAGAGTTATTGAATTACATATGAATTTATATATAAAAAAAAATTAATACAACATTGTGTATTTTTTCATTGAAAAATAATATAAATTTTTAAACATATATTACATTAGTTCATATTATTTCATCGTTCACTGTGTCCTAGCCGTTAAAGTACGAGAAGTTGTCCACAGTTACGCATAAAAACAAGGGAACGGGAGGGTGGGACCCACCATTCTTGAAGACACAAAAAGGGACCAGCAAGCACTTGGAGCCAACAACGGCAAATTTACCTGCTTATGGGATTTCGTACCTCATTAATCACATTAAAAAACTTATACCCCTTCTTTTTAAAATTATAAAATAATAAAAATATGCATTATTTATAAATATTTTATTTACAAACTACACTATATATGATAAAGCTGTCAAAAAGGGCTCAAGCCCTAGGGCCAGTCCTTGTAGCCCAATGTTAAGCCATATAAAATTTTAGCCTTCTACGTAACAGGACCATTTTAACCCCATCCTCTTAAAGCCCTCTCATTATAGGGTTAGGTTGGGGCTGATCCGCGGACTACAATATTCAACCCAATTTACATAAATATGAATCATTTTTAAATGTGACATATCTATCCTTAGCATTAAAATGTGAAAATTACATAAATATAAATTATTTTTAAATATGACATTATTAGAAAAGTGTCAAATACTAACAGAATTTATCGACGAAAAATATTTCGTCGAAAATAGTGTCGAAATTTTTGACAAAAATAACATTACGTCAAAAATAGAGAAGAAATAAGATTTGACTATAACCACTGACATAAATTTTTTTGGAAAAAAATTATGTTAAAATTCTTGATAGAATCTAAATTCCGTTGAAACTTTCAACAGAAATATTTTCGTCAAATTTTTCAAGGAAAAATATTTCTGTCGAAAATTTTCGATAGAATATAATTATGTAAATTTTTTTGTTGAAAAACATTTTCGCCAAATTTTTTTACGGAAAATATTTCCATCAAAATAAGGCAAATTTTTTTAAACGAAACACATTTTCAGTGAAAATTTTCGACGAAAAATATTTCCGTAAAAATTTGTGACGAAAAATATTTTTATAAAAACTGTTGACATAAATTTTTTTTTGTCAAAATTCTTTACGAAATCTAAATTTCGTCAAAATATTTGACAAAAAAACATATTTGTCAAAAATTTTGACGAAAAATATTTCCCTTTAAATTTTTAACGAAACACATTTCCATTGAAACTTTTTTGTACAAAGTTCTGACGAAAAATATTTCTGTAAAAAATTTTGATAGAAAAAAAATTCGTCAAAATTCTTTACAGAATCTAAATTCTGTCAAAAGTTTTTCGACGAAAATATTTCGTCATACTTTTTGACGAAAAAAAATTTCGTCGAAATTTTCTACAAAACACATTTTCATCAAAAAAAATTACGACAAATATTTTCGACAATTTTTTTGATAAAAAACATTTCTATCAAAATTTTCAACGAAACAAATTTCCGTCAAAATCGACGGAAATTATTTCTGTAAAAAAATTCGAGAAAAAAAATATTTCGTCAAAATTCTTACGGAATCTAAATTTCGTCGAAAGTTTCACAAAAATATTTCCCTCAAAACTTTTGAAAAAAATATTTCCGTTGAAATTTTCATTGAGACTAGAGGTGTAAATGGGCCAGGCTGGCCCAGCCCAGTCTACGGTCCCGCCTACATTGAGCCCGGCCCAGACCCGGCCTTTCAGAAAAGTAGAGTAGACTTAGGCTTATAAAAAAGTCTTTTTAACAAATAGGCCATAGGTCAATTTTGTCAAGCCCGGCCTACAGCCTTGTAGGCTGCCTATTTAATTTATTAAAATAAAATAAAATAATATTTATTTTATGTGGCAAAGACGCAAAGTACCAAATACCAATATCTCTTACTTTTTGTGCTATTTTATTTTATAAAAGGAAAACTCTTCTAATGTCTCCAAATTTTACATGCAGTTGCAACTTAATACCATGGAGTAATGGGTACCTTGCTGGATTATGATGTTACTGATTAAGATCTTTCAATAATACTCTTTTTTCCCTTGTCTTGATGATGGTTTAAAGATTTTTAGATAAATGACATTCTCTTGTAGACTTTATTTCAGCATCCGGTAATTGTTTTTTCTTATTTTCTCCATTTCTTTGACTCTATTCCTCTATGATATACATTCTAGAGCTGGGGTAATTATGTTGACTCTTTCTTGTTTGTCATTTTTTTCTTATGAGGAGTACTAGTACATGCATGAATGGAACTTTCTTTGTTCTATACAATTATTTTTTTGCTTAGTATCTACAGTGGGAGGCCTACAAGGCCTGTAGGCCATGTCAAGCTTTCTTATTTTTAAAAATGGGCCGGGCTTGGCCTACAAATAAAGCCTCTAATAGGCCAATAGGCCAGATAAGCTGAATTTTTTTTTGACGTAGGCTTGGGCCAAAAAGGCCAAAGCCCAGCCTATTTACACCCCTAATTGAGACACATTTTCATCGAAAATTTTGGATAGAAAATATTTCGTCAAAATTTTTGACAGAATTCTTTTTTCCGTCAAAACTTTTGGTGGAATTTTTTTTATCGGAAATATTTAAAAAATCATTTTCATCAAAACTTTTGACAGAAACTTAATTCGGTCGAAAATTTTGACAATTTTTTTTTTTTTTGTAAAAACTTTCATCGCCTTTCAATGAAAAGTATTCCAACGAAAAAATATTTTTTTGGCGAAATATTTTGTTGTTTGCAACGTAGTTTTTTTGTAAAAAATATGATCTTTTTTAGTAGTGTAAAAAATACATAAAAAATTTAGAAGGCCTGCGGGCTGGCCCTAACCCATAGGGCTTTGGCCCGTATGGATTTATATCATTGTGGGCTTTTTGGCCCTAACCCACTTGGGCTAGGGCTAAATGGGCCGGGCTGGCCCGTTTTAACAGCTCTATCTGATAGATAAAACACTTTTGAGTAGAGTGTTACCGATTAAACATAGTGTAATTTGTAAGTTTGTAAAAAGAAGATTTGTCAATATAACCCTACTCTTATTTATAATACATGTTTTTTTTTTTAATTCTGAATCAATGAAGTAAAAGAGTAATGTAAAAAAATTGACGTGTAAATGTTATTTTTTTTTGCACTTGTCCTTTGCTTATTTGTTCTGCTAATTGATGCTTTTTAGTAAAATAATAGTAGATTATGAAATGACTGAAATTCTACTTTGATGCTTTTTTTTTTAACCCACTATAATAATTTTTATTTTTATTTTTGTTTATAAAAAGTAACTTTGACACAACAGTTAATATTGTGCTGGAAAAAATTTTCAATACCACCATCGCGGCTAATAGGAATACGCCATGTCAACTTGTGTTGTACCGGAGAGAGAGAAAGAAAGAAATTATTTTTCTACTTTATACTATGTCTTACAGCAAGACATATTGTAAAATACACTGTCACATCCAATTTTCAATACCACCTGCAAAAAAAAAAGCATTGTGCCATGTGACCTAGTAGTTATAGATTTGATTCATATAATTAACATTTTGCAAAAGTAAAATAAAACTTCCTATTATAAATTTACACATTGTGTCTGACCTTTCTTGAATCCAACGGATTGCAGGAGCTTTATAATACCATGCTACAATTTTTCATTCTTGTTTCCTTAAAGATACTAATAAGTAATTTTCAAATGTGATATAATACCATTAATTGATTACAAAATTGTGTGTTTAATAATTTCACATAAGATATATATCATATATCATACAAGTTCAATCTGAATATTATCTTGTCATTCATCACAACAAAGTGAAGAATTTGCGGATATTTTGTAGATTAAGAGTTGAATCAGAAGTTTGTATTCCTTTAATCTCTGAAACTTATATTGAAACTTGCCACATGTCACTTCCATTTGATAGTGTGTTTATAGTCATAGGACTGACACACTGTTCTACTTCTATATCTTAAGCAAATTGACCCCAACACTTCTCAAGGGAAACAAATAAGATTGGTTTGAACCAGTGACTTACACAATGAAAATATTGGGCTCAGTTACGAGACCATGGTATTCTTGTTGTGCTACCCCTTAATTAGTCCAGCCCAATACAGGCCCAGTTAACTGACTCGGGTATTATTTGGGACTACAGTTACTACTTAGAAGTTATATATATTTATAGGGAAAAGTAAATCTTATGTTGTAGGAGAATTCTAATCTCATGTCATAGATACATTAAGTGTGGGATCCATTTATTTAAAAAAAACAAAAAACAAAAAAATGAGTGGCACACCTTTTTATGGTGTGTGTAAGAAGGGTTTGTTTTCTCATGCAACATGAGAAAAACAAACCCCATATTTATATCCCACAATGCCTTGTTGAATGAGCCTAGGGCCCGCACCCCCCCTTGTAAAGGACAAATTGCACTACCTATTGTTACACAAGCCTTAAACGTGAAACTTTCAGGCTCCAACATGTTCATGAACTGCCCCCAATAAGAACTCGTCAACAATATTAGGTCTATTA